AAGGGCTGTAGGGTGGGGCTCAAAGGAGTCAGTGTGCTAAAATTTCTTCATTTTCCTTGTTTAGAATCAGAGGTGCTAGTTTCAAATCCTTTTTAGTCTGAAATCTGTATGCTAGATATTGAATAAGGTGGTTTTATTGTTTTTTGTCACTTTGAATAATATTTCTGTTCATGTTAAAAACAAAATCAACTCTCTGTATAAATATATCAGGTGACCATTAAGGCCTGTGGGCCTCTTGTTTCACTATAGGACTGTTATATCAAAATTCTACACCTCTGTAACACTTGATTAGATTTTTGGTGAACATCGGTCAAGGTTTCAGGGTCAAAAGTTAGGAGAAAAGCGGGTTGAAGGGGAAGGGTAAAGATGGTCGGGATATCTTAGTGAGTCTCCGTTCACATTTTTGTTTGTTAAGTCTGTATCCTGGCATTGGATGAGATATCTGTTTTTATCATTGCTTAAAGATAAACCGTTTTAATATTAGGATGCAGGCTCTTAAAACCCTGCTTTCTGCACCGCACAAATATGTTATTTTGACTTATAAGACTTTGGCCTTTTAAAGGATAGATATACAAGTAGTCCTGAAATGTTATCATCTATAAGTATTTGCTTTTGAAATATCGATATATCATATATTCGTTAAGTGCATTGCATTGATTTTACAAAAAAAATGTTCAATATTTTTTCAACATTAAATTTCTATGAATAAAAAAAAAGATAATTATTTCTTTTAGGTGGAAAGAAGACTGAAGACACACTCAGTAGACTTCTGGAGTCGTTTAGTTTGTCATATACAAGACTGCGAGGCGAGAGTTTTAGGAGTTTAGTGGATGCGGCCAACGCACAATTCACCAAATCCATGCAGACCGTGCTTAAAGATACTAACGTAGTGAGTTGATAATTCTTTTATCAGACATTAGATTTAATTGCATTGAAGCAATTATACACAAAATTTTGTATGGATTTTTTTTAGTGTAATTCAACACAAAAGTCATACAGAATAAATCTTACGATATCTGTTTAATCAACACTTTTGTGCGAGAAAAAAGTAACATGATAATTTTCCTTTATTTTGAATGAGAAAAAGTTTGTACATACAGTGAAACCTTGATATATTGCCCCTCGTTATGATTTGCCACCTCGTTTATCGCCAAAATATTTCTCTGTCCCTTTTTCTTTATTTAATGATTATTCCTTTATACGTTTCCCTCAAACTATTGCAAAACCCCTTTATAACGCCAAATTTTTTCTGGACAAATGGATTATGATGGCAGTATAGTGAGGTTTTACTGTATAAAATATACTTTCCTTTCATTTTAATGTGAAAAATTTGTTACGTATTATGTTCCTGCAATTTTGTGAGAAAACTGACCACCCAATGTTTACTGATGTTTGTTCACAGAGACGATCAGCACAGCACAGCCAGTCCGACATGGATAACCTGAAGGTCGCCGTGGAGGTACGTCTGCTTGTCCATCTCCAAGGTTGAAAAATTAAGTAGTTCCGCAAATATGAGATAACATTTTGGTACTGTTACTCATTGTTTGAAGTAAAAATAAAACTGTAAGATAGTGTCCCTCGATTTATTTGCCATTGTGCTCACATCAAATGTAATTAAATATCCCTGTTCCTTTTTGCTTTTTTTTCCACCCTTACAATTAACTCTAATATATATATCTCCTTGATATGAAGTCAATTAAAAACCTGTCCAATGGATTACCTCTATTAAGTAACCACCTGTGTTAAAAGACAACTTTCAGTGTTTCCTATTATAATTATTTCTTTATAAATTGAACCTGTATTATGAGGTCACCTGTGGAAACAGACCACCTTTAGGACTTACCAAGGGTGTTCTCTTTATACAGGTTTGACTGTACTTTCAAACCTCTTAACTCATTCATCCCTGAAAACACATTTGAACTCTTCCAATTCAAAGGTCGGAATAGTTCATTATCAAATTTCAGGGGTGAATGAGTTAATAGTGCCAAAATATCACTTAAAAAATGATGGCATTATAACAAGGTTTTATAATGTCCATACAAAAACAATATTATTGTTAATAATATTTCTTCACAAACAAATGAAAAAAACCACCAAGAATATGTATTTATTCTATTGTTACATACCATAGTGTACCAATTTCCCCCCTGCAATTCTTACCATAATTTTCTGTTCACTCTAAAAGTTTGACATTTAATTTGTTCGGATGTGTTGCTATCTCTGACATGCTAACTAACCTTCTTTCCTCAGACGTATATAATGCATGCATTACATCGGCACTTGTTCCAAACGCTGACTGCCTGTGTGTCGAGTGCGGATTCCGAAGTTAACAAGATGGTACGTAACAGTACAGAGGTCAAGCCACGCGACCTTGGAATAAGGTCGGAGTTTGTACGGAACATTGTGTCCGCCAAGAAAGAGCTGGTCAGGATCAACAAGTTCAGTACCCCCATGGGGCGCCTCTCCTGTCTGAAACGAGTCGTGACCAACCTTAGTAAACCGCTCTCGCAGAACAACGGAGAAACCAATGGTAAGTTGGTACCATTGGTAAACTTTTTAATCATAAACCAATGAAGTTCTATGTAATCCTTAAAATCTTTTTTCATTTTCAAAGGACCTTCATCATATGACATTAAAATGCCCACCCATCTAAAAACACTTCCAACAATGTCTTACTATTCTAGTGGTACATGTATTACTGTCTATTAATTTGTATTACTCACAATGGATTTAATTTTCGCTTAAATCGTGTGAAACTAAATACCCAGCAAATATTTTGCAATGAATAAAAATTTGAAATGCTTGACTAACTTTCCTGTAGACCAAGTGTACTTAGTACCTGTAGGGAAGTAGCCACTGACTGATAAGTTTTGACTAAGGGGTGTTTCTAAAAAAAACAAACAAGGAAAACTGTTGTAACAGGTTTGTACAAAAAGTTGTGACAAGTATCACAATATGATTGTATTATGACCCATGTGTCGTGTTAAGATCACAACCCTTGCGTTACAAAGCACTCATTACAACTTAAGTAAATATTGTTAACCCTTTCACCACTTTAGACCAAAATGGGCTCATCCAGATCAATGTATTTAAGAGTCTACTAAAAGTTACATAGGGGTGAAAGGGTTAAACCTATACCTACAGCAAACTCTCTGGAGACCTGTAATTTTTTTTGATACCAGGCTATATTTTCCATTGATGATGAAATGTCATACTTTTATATATTATTGTTTGTCTTGATCATTGTCCTACAAATGTTGTAGCATATGGCGCTTTTATTAATTACCGACTTCGTTATGACAGATCCCTTGATAATGAGCACAGACGACTTCCTACCGATCCTGATCTTGTTAGTGGTCAAGTCGGAGATACCTAACTGGTGAGTGTGTAACAGAAATTATAGGAATCTAAAACGCCACTTTATAAAAATATATCTTCTGTCGGCAAAATTTGTCATTTATAGAGAATGATGATTTTGAGATAATTATTTGCCAAGTAACAAAAGTGTAATTTCATTATAAACAAGATTTACTAATAAGGGCTTTTCGAGATTCCAGTAAAAAATTACCCTTGGATTCCAAATTTTATTTTAGGTCACTAGACACTAGTGGTTGGTTACTTGTTCTAACATGTAGTACATGGTCTCATCCAGGCCTAAGATATCTTTGTAGATCAAGAACAATGAGTGTCAAAAAACATGCGGTTACAGAAGTAAAGCTTCTGTAGTTGGCATTGAAAAAACACAGTCTTATCCAAAACAAAATAAGGGGAGATTACTATTACTATGAAAAAAATACAGTGGAATTCTTCATTGTTTTTCCTGTGGTGGGATAAGGATCTTTAAGACCAATTCTTGATATCACCAGGTAGGGCCAATACAATTGTACAAAAAGAGTGTGTTGATTTAAGTTTATGAATGGTGATTATGTTAAACTTCACCGATAGTGGTAGTCTCTGTTTGAATTAAAATTGATATATCAATATTGCAGGACTGCCAATCTGATGTATATGAAATACTTCCACTTTTCAAAGACATCGGAGGACGACGAATACGCGTAAGTGTTTGTTCGTAGTTAACGTAAATGTTGTTGAATTTTAGAATATGCAGGAGAAATGTTGAAAGCAACAATTTGATTGACTTTGAATGTGATAGGAATGCAATTCACTGCTTATGTTGTTAACTATTTTTTGAAATTGGTAAATAAGAAAAACAACTCCCGAAACCAGGTTTTTATCATAACTGTATCACCCCTGAAGATACATTTGAACTCTTCCAATTCAATGGTTGGAATAGTTCATTATGAAATTTCCGGGGTGAATGAGTTAATATTATATTGGTGCTGATGAGTAAAACTCACCATTACCATGTAGCAGTCACCATTTAGCTGTGCTCGGACGATGACCTGCCCAGCGGGTCAGAACTCGTCGGCTCCAATACAGTTATAAATAGATACCTGGATTCATGAGTTGTTTCTCTTCTCGATTTATTTGCTTAACGTCAAGAGGGCTTTTGTATACCAACCAATGGGTATCCTCCTGAAACCAAAAATAAAGTAAACATTCCTCTACACTTAACCCTTTCACCCCGATGTTATTTTAGTAGACTCTACCATTTTTGGTCAAGTGGTTAACACTCCAGCCTTCCACGCAGGCGGCCGGGGTTCGATCCCCAAAGTCCCTGTATGCATGGAATATTCAGATAAAGTGTTTTTTCTCCTGCCCACACAACTTCAAAAACCCAGGTGGAGTATGAAATGGTCTGGGGTTGGTGTTGCGGTATCTGTGTTGTAGCATTAAAGTGAGGTGGCACTATAAACGATACCCTTGGAAGCATGGTCCCACTATAAATAGAACACATTACATCTCCAGCACACACACAGGCACACACACATAGGGAGATATTAGCAAGGTGGCATAGCACTAGTAGTTAGTGCCTGATAAGGCAGCTCCTGCGAATTCCTCACTATTGTAACGATTTATATTATATGCTATTTGTATTGACTGTATAAAATTGTATATCTATGTACTGTAAATCGCATTAGAGTGACTTATGTTAGCTAGATAGGGTGCTTTATGAAATGTTGTATATTTATTTTTATATTATATATATAGTTGAAATCCGCCATTAGTGCCATTTAGTGTCATTAGTATCAATAGTGACACGTATAATGTCATAACAATGATGACGTCAACAATAAGAATCACAAAAAATTGTGTTCTGTATGTATGTATACACAATTACGGACTATTGCAAGACTAGATACATGAGGAAGACGCATGTGATATACATATGTGTATAAATAGTTCCTAATAATTTAAAGCAGACAGTTTCCAGGCAGTAATGGTGTCTGTTTTTCCGGTGCATTGGCATGAAACCTATGTTAATACATGACAATTTTAACCTTAATAGTATACATACAAAATTATTGAAATCAATATAACATGTTTACGATTTTCAACATAATCCTCTTATACATGTAAGAAAAGAATAAATGTTAACATATTTGCCAATTTCCGGATGATTCTCAAATATTATTATACTACTGTAGTATGAAAATAAGTCTTTTAGTTAACCAGACTTTGATTAACTGTAGTCCTGTTACATGTTTAGGATTTTTACCAGACATCTGTGTTTCTGTTACATGTTTAGGATTTTTACCTGACAACTGTAGTCCTGTTTCATGTTTAGGATTTTTACCTGACATCTGTGTTCCTATTTCATGTTTAGGATTTTTACCTGACATCTGTGTTTCTGTTACATGTTTAGAAAATTTACCCGACAACTGTAGTCCTGTTATATGATTAGGATTTTTACCCGACAACTGTAGTCCTGTTTCATGTTTAGGATTTTTACCCAACTACTGTAGTCCTGTTATATGATTAGGATTTTTACCTGACAACTGTAGTCCTGTTATATGATTAGGATTTTTACCCGACAACTGTAGTCCTGTTACGTGTTTAGAATTTTTACCCAACACCTGTAGTCTTGTTAAATGTTTAGGATTTTACCAGACAACTGTAGTCCTGTTATATGTTGAGGATTTTTACCTGACAACTGTAGTCATGGTATATGTTTAAATTTCACCTGACAACTGTTTCTGTTCTATATTTAGGTTTTACCTGACTACTGTTTCTGTTCTATATTTAGGTTTTACCTGACAAGTATGTTTCTATATTTAGGTTTTTCCTGACAACTGTTTCTGTTCTTTATTTAGGTTTCACCTGACAGCTATGTTTCTATATTTAGGTTTCACCTGACAAGTATGTTTCTATATTTAGGTTTCACCTGACAACTGATTCTGTTCTATATTTAGGTTTCACCTGACAACTGTTTTTATACTATGTTTAGGTTTTACCTGACAACTGTGTTTCTATTCTATATTTAGGTTTTACCTGACAACTGTTTCTATTCTATATTTAAGGTTTTACCTGACAACTGTGTTTCTATTCTATATTTAGGTTTTACCTGACAACTGTGTTTCTATTCTATATTTAGGTTTTACCTGACAACTGTGGAGGCTGCCCTGCAGCATATACGTAGTGGTTGCCTCAAGGAGGAGGCTATAAAAGCATACAGAATTACGGTTAGTAAGCTGAAGGAAATTGTTGTTAAATTGCAAGAAAAGAAAATACTGATGGTACTATTCTAGTGCCCCTTGGCCTTTGGACACAACATTTTAGATCCATCCCATTAATTTTATAAAGTGTCTCATATCCATTCAACCTATTATTTCTTAAATCATACTTTGCCTTATGCAGCTTTAACCCTTTAACCCCTTGGTAACTTTAGTGGACTCTACCGTGCCTTTATTGGGATGAGTCTATTATGGTCTACAGTGTTGAAAGGGTGAATAGTCAAAACATAAAGAGAATATTGTGTTGGAAAAATCTTTTTTGGGGAAACTCAAAATAATAATTAGAAAGGAAATTATTGAGAAAACAAAACACCCACCTTGTGAAATGAACATAATGTCAAAAAAGTAGTTGAAGGGAGGCAACTCTGCTAATTTTTTCTGGACACTTTTTGTATAAAAGATTTTCATGGTCTGTTACAAGAAAACGATCATTGTAGAACACTGTTCTTTAAGAATTTCTTTTAATACTTTTTGTGGATATAAAACTGCAATAATCTATTTTCTTATTTATTACAGGAGTCTGAATTCCCTGATCAAAAGACAGTGGTTGGTAGACAGTTGTCAGGTGGAACATCAATTGTCGACAAATTCTTTCAGGTACTATACTCTATTAAATTGAAATTAACTCCATGAAATCATTCAAAAGTTTAAATCAAGAAACAAGTTCTATCAGCTTTAATTAATACGTCATGTCTGCTTCGTGGGATGGTAGGATGCAGGGGGTCTTAATGTCGGAGGCAGTGAGTACTCAGTGTAAACCCACATGGTCAGGCACGTGAGCCCATACATTTAGAGTCTTCGTGAAAGGTGAATGAGCTGACCAATTTGTCTCTTGACCACCCGACTCAAGAAATCACAAAATTGTACCATCAAATAGAACGAGGATAAAGCAATTCCACATCATATTGTAGTCTCGTTGAATTTAAGTTTCTCCTAATCTTCACTCTCTATACATAAGGTAAAGTACAGGTGTTATTCAGGAGTTGTGTCCACTTTTTGCCTACAGTATGTGCAGTACGGCGACGAGACTGCCGTGACCCAGATGTTACGACGCCCCAGGGACAGTCAGGACCAGGTGTCACTCAAGCTGTGTCACCCGTTGTGTAGCTGTGACAAGTGTGCCAAACTGACGGCCCAGCACAGGACCGATGTGAACCTCGTCACAGCCTACACGCGAGATGATCGCGGATACACAGGTACAAGTCATATTTTGTCGGTGAATGTATGCACATTGATCAGGTATATACAGGTACTGTGAAATCAGATATTCTTTTGTGGGGACATAATTTCGTGATTTTCCCAAACAAAAACATATCTTGGATACATGGATTCCTTGATTGCTAGTTCCGACGAAATTTATAATGATATCCTAAGGTATTTGAAAAGTAAAGTGTAGGATACGTACATAAGCGTACAGCACACCATATCCATGAATAATTTATTCTGTAAAACTGAAAATTATTTTCAATTTGTGTCTTGCATCTACACGGCATTACAGCAAAACAAAACTTTGATATTTAAAATGATTATTTAAGTGAATTTCCCGAAAATATTATTTTCTAGTAAAATGTTACTTGTTTATCTGTTTGAATGGATGATGAAATATCATTTGAATCAGATGTTCATTAATTAGTTTGCATTAAAAGAGAAGTTAACTTCCATAAATACAGCTCTCCACATCGCATCACTGAACGGTCAGGCCCACCTAATAGATTTGCTGATAAAAAATGGGGCTTTGGTGAATGCCAGTGATTACCTCAGCTACACGCCCCTACATCTAGCTTGTCAGAAGGGCCACCAGAACATCATTGTAAGTAGAAATATAATTATACATATATTCCTTCAGAATAATGTACAAGTCAAAATATTTTAAACCAGAAATTCCATGCAAAACATTTTTAGTGTAAAATGATATGGGAAGTAATTAAAAAAATCTTAATCCTGAATTTTAACTTGACAGTTATTATTGGTGCACTTCAATGCTGACTGTACCCAGACAGACGGGGAAGGGAACACGCCGCTACACTTGTGTGTCGACAGCGGACACGAAGATGTAAGTATCAGCTTGACCTGTAGTAATCCTATGGTGGCCTGGTCCATAGATAGGAAGGGGAGGGTGAAATTTTATAAAATGATGCCAGATTTTAATTGTACATAGGATTATGGTCGCCTTCTTGCTTCTTCACCCTAGAGGGAAGTTCCCTTTAGCTCAGTGGGAGATTGTCTGACTAGGAAGTCTGGGATCGCGGGTTGGACCCCCGATGGAAGCACACTACTCTCCCTCCTGTTACAGTGGTGCCTGTGACCAACCCTTGTTTCAAGCATTAGGTGTACGCTTGGCAAGGGGATACTCAAACTTTGGTTGTAAATAGTGGTGTCTTTGGAAGCAAAGACTAAAAAAAAAAGGAGGAGGAGGAGGAATGAAGTGGAACTGGCCTGGGTCTATTGAAGTTACCAGGTAGCTTAATTGGTAGAGCATCTGTCTGGAGTTTAAAGGGTCATGGGTTCGCACTCCGGTCTAGCTGTACATTTTTCCATCTCCTAGTTACAAAATTTAAAAAAGAGGCATTTGACTTCATATAAATGCATATGAATTTAAGCAGTATTGAGAATATAATTTTTTCTATAAATATATATAAACCATAAAGTTACAGAGTGAAGGGATATTTACCTGTCAATTACCATAAATTTCAAATGTTGCATGTATAGATTTACAAGAATGCGCAAAAAGTGATAAAATTATAAGAAATGATTTTACAAACATTTCAGATTTACTTTTTGTTTTGGATAAGGAATTGCAATTGTGTGAGGTGACAAATGAAATGAGGGACATTTTATCAAGGTTTTTACTGTTATTAGTTATTCTTATAAAAGTAATAGTTAAAAAGCATACTGGAGGAATTGATGAGAAAAAAAGAACAGAGAACAAACTATCTTCAGACTGTCTGAATTATTCTTATCCTTTACAGAAAACGTTAAATACAAATATTTATGTTTCCTTACCCATTAGTGTGTGAAGGCAATGGTGTTCTTGGAGCAGGCCAAAACCAAGCTGGATATAAACGCTCAGAATGTCCGCGGTGACACAGCAATACATCTGGCAGCCAAATGGGGCTACGGTAAGGAGATTTTTTTGAAATGTTACAAGCAAAAGTTGGTTCATCAGGAAAAAGTTGCTTATTATCCAGTGATGTTGAATTCATAAAAAAAATCAAATATTCAAGGAGCTTTTGGAAAAAAAAGAAGGAAACTTTTTTTTTTATAAAAGCACTGTTGTTGATGATTGTTTAAGTCACCTTTAATATTTCTCATATATGTCTTGAAAGGTTTGGCTTTTTTTCAAAAATAAATTTATCAAAGCTTTAGAAACCCAATTACCAACACTTCGTTACAGTTATTAGCAGTGGTACGAGGATCCTTAAAGTTCTAATAGAAGAGTTGTCTTTCTTTGGCCACATACTTGTACCGAAAGTTTATCATGTGATATATTATCTGTCCAGAAAACATTGTTAGTATCCTACTGGAGAATGATGCCCAGCCAAGCTTGAGGAACAGAAAGAAGCAGACACCCTTCAACATTGCTCAAAGCTCCAAAGTCCAGGAACTGCTCAAGATGGCTGCCAGCATGCCCAAACTGGAAGTGAGCCGGAGCAAATCTAAGGTGACCCTTAAGCACCTCAAATTATTCTTACTAGTGATGTTCTGATTAATTGACTTTGTCAACTATTTGTTAGTTATTAGGCAAATGATATGACTATAAATTTCACATTGAGTGTTTGAAGGGAGGTAATTTTTACGATTCGGGTCTGGTTTTTATTGGTGTAATTAATTCCCAATAACATTATATGGGGCATTGTACGATCTTTTTCTTTAAAACCATTATTCATTAATTATTGGTTTATAAAGAGTAACCAATGATCTATCATAAAATTTCAACCAATTCCTTACACAACTTTTTGCATCTTCTAGTGATTTTCACATTTTCACTTGTAGATTTCCAAGAAATTTCAAATTGTTCATTGAATTAAAATGCTTACTGCTGTTCTAGCATATGAGAAATTTATTGATGGGTATCTACTGCTTTTCAAAACCTAAATATCGACATTTGCTCTTTATCCTCCCATGACACATCCTCAATGCTCCAGGGTTACGTTCACTTTGGCTCTCTGCACACTTAGAATACGTCATAGCAAAATTGAAGGCACGTGGCTAGCTATTGAACTGGTCTCCGGTAAAAATAACCTGAATAATCATTAGACTGATACCTGTCCTGCGTCACCCAACTTCAAAGTCAGTCAATTTTACCATTGAACGACCAAGATATTCTTAAGATGTAAATCTAAAGATCAATCTATTGTCCTCTTCCTATCTCATCCACAAGGTGGTGCAAACTGAGCCTTCAATTTTGTCGCCACATATTCCAGGAGTGCAGAGAGCGTTACCCCTAGAGTATCAAGGATGCTCAAACCAACAAAGAATGCAATGCATGTTGTGCCACTATTAAAACATTTGTTTGGTCATTGTGAAGATGTTAAACAAAATATTCCCGAGAACTGGGTTGGGGAGTTTGGGGGTCGAAGTAAGAGGTACAGAAACATTTAGTTCCAAGTTTTCCTGTCACTTTCAGTAAAAGAGGAAATAATTGCAGTGTCGTAGTGCTCATGTTTTTTCACATTGAGTAAACAATCATAAAAATTACCACCCAATGTATAAAGAATAACTAGACTATAGATATATGGAATAGATTTCCAAACCATTGCCAATTTGAAAACTTTCACACCCTGATCTCAGTTTAAAGATTCACAATGCCAAATATTTCCACATGCAAAAGTTTCTACTTTTAATTATACTGGGTCCTTCCATGTGTTTATGATATAGAAGAAAAATGTAATCTTGTAACGTATGGATTTGTATTTTCACAAATTAAATGCATTTGATATTAATATAACATTTTATGTTTCAGAGTATGTCGGAGTACGCAATCGTGACAAAAAAGGATGTTGCTTTAGAGGCCCCTCCGCCCCCGACCCCCATCACCCACATAGTTGCCTCCCTTGACCAGGTGGAGAATCGACAGCTGGAGAAACTCTACAACTCAATCAATGATGGCGACCTTCCAATGGTACGTCCGACAGAAACTAGATGTTCAAAACTTTTTTTGATTATCATGATGAGTTGTCATGTCGAGGGTATACAGGCCAAAACTATATAAATGCCCTCAATGACGTCATTGCTCTACAAAATTAAACTGCATTTCCTATTTTATTTTCAGTAGGCTTCATTTCCTATTTTATTTTCAGTAGACTTCATGTACTGTATGTGTTCACAAACATTTCTTGAATGAATTTTGTTTAAAATTGTTCTCAAAAACAAAGTCATCACTACTATACATTTTTCATTTCTAATGTAACTATTACAGAACTGAATATATATGCTCACAAACATCACTTCTTGTACAAGATTTCTTTTTCACCTTCTGCCTCAAAAATAAGGTCGCTGTTACTATAAATAGAATTTCGGTGTCTTTGATTTAAAGACTTAAATTCTTATCCTATTTTCATGAAAGTTCTGTTACGTTCATAAACTTCACCTCCCGTACGAGTTTGCTTGCCCACCTTCGGGGTCACCTTAACTACAAAATAATTTTCACAGCATCACTGTACTGACTTAGTCTTGTTTGTTCATGAAATTTCATATTTGTGCATGTTCTCAAACATCAATAAACATTCATGTATCAGACTTCTGGGATAAAAAATGAAAGTGTTCAAGAAATTAAATAACCTACATTTTCTTTCATAACATGTCAGTCCAATATTTCAATTTAAAGAAATATTTCCTTTCCCTTCTTGAAAAGATAATTGAGTCATATATTTAGAAAAATAAAATAATTGTCTTTTCACAAGAAATATACTTGAGTGTAGAAAGAGAATGTCTCACGCATACAATGTTAATTTCATGTACACAGGTCAAAGTTCCACCTATATAATGCTAATTTTGTCTACACAGGTCAAAGTTCCACCTATATAATGCTAATTTTGTCTACACAGGTAAAGTTCCACCTATATAATGCTAATTTTGTCTACACAGGTCAAAGTTCCACCTATATAATGCTAATTTTGTCTACACAGGTCAAAGTTCCACCTATATAATGCTAATTTTGTCTACACAGGTCAAAGTTCCACTAGTATAGCTTTTTTTCTACACAGGTAAAGTTCCACCTGGGCTGGAGTGACCTTGAGGAGGATGAGGACTTTGAGGCGTCCCCTATGTCCAGTGTCGAGCTGTGTCACCCTCTCTGTCAGTGTGACAAGTGTCGCCCTATACAGAAGGTAACACAACTTTACTATTCATAGCGAAAAATGATGATGACGTTATTTATAGTTCAGATTTGAAGGTTTTTTGTTAGTTCTTGCCTATACATAGTACTTAACTAAACTCCATCACTTATAAGTGTGAATTTAACTTGAAAGAAATTGCATTTCTGGGTGCTGCATTCTGATTAACAGTTGCTATATTTAAAAAATCTTTTTCATCGCTGTAGCAACTTATCTATCTATAGATATCCATGTAATTTCATACAAGCTCAAGATGCTGTAGTTAAGGTCAAGGTCACTTGCTATATTTAGAAAAATGTTCAATACACTGTTGACTATGTCTTCCAATGGATGATAGCCTTGGGTCTTCATAAAAGTGTTAGCTGTGACTGTACCATAAACAAGTTCAAAGGTCAAAGTGCTGCACTAAAAATCAAGGTCACTGTTACTATTTTTAGCAAATATTGTTCATTGCACTTGCTAGTTTATTTAATGGATTTGTCATAGAAATCATGGGTGAATTAGTCTATATTTCAAATTTCTGTAGGTGAAATTAAGGTTATTACACTTGTTAATTTAGTTAATGGAATTAACCTGTGAAGAAAAATCATAGAAATCTGGGATGAATTATTCTATATTTCAAAGTTCTGTAGTTAAGGTCAAGGTCACTGTTATATTTTAAGAAAATTATATAATTCTCATAACCCAGTGGGTATCCCTGAAACAACATACAAGTGTATCAGGGTCCTTAGGTCAAGGTCACTGATACTATTTTCATAAATTATTCATCATTCAAGTGTGAAAAATGCTATTACTACCATATTTAGAATGTACATTCAGTAAAATTTAGAGATGTAACATTATACCCAACAACAATATTTTGATTTGCTTAAAAGTATTTTTGGCCCTGTGTTTGGATTCATGAGAGTCCACCTCCATGAAGAAAGCACCTGTGTTTAGAGACCACTTATAAATTTCCCCATTATAGTTATTTGTTTTCCTGCATTAAGGGTCCTCGTACCACTGCCAAAAACTGTTGGAAACTGTTTTATCCCACACGACTATATAATTTTGATAAATCATTTCTGAAAAGAAAACCGTACCTTGCAGGACTTTTATGAGAAATAATAAAGATGAAATAAACAAAATATAATCAACAACAGTGTTCTGACTGTAAAAACAAATTATTGGGGCCAGACTGGGGTTAGAAACCTTAACTTCTGATTGCTGAACTATCGCTCTAAACTATTGAGCTACCTGGTCAACGGAAGTATACATGCCGAACAGTGCTACGATGACAGTATGGCCCAACGGAAGTTAAGGGGAGGTTACTGTATATACTGAAAATGGCAGTGTAGTGGGACAGGGATCCTTAAGAAACAAACTACAATAAGAGACCACTTTATCACATGCTGTACTGTGTTATCCAGTGAATATACCCATGTCATATCTTTTGCGTATTAACCCATGTAATATGACCTATGGTTGTAATTTTCAATTGTTTCGATTGTGATGTTACGCCTAGGACAAGTACATGACGTCATAGACTTACACACCTGAGTCAAAATGGCAGCTTTTTACATTTCAAGGTTGCATGAAAATTGTTTGTTTTACATGAATAAATGCTACAAATCTTGATTATGTGATAAAAAGGATCTTATACTCGTTTCCGTTTCATATAAAATTATGAAACTCGTCACGAATTTTCATCAATCTCATATGAAATGGAAACTCATGTAAGATCCTTTATGAATGTACTTTTTGAAGGTGGCCTTTGATTATTTCTTCGACTGTGTATTCTGTAACTTATAAATTGATTCATAATATTATTACATTTCTTTCTCATTCATTTTAAAACAGTCTGTATTCTGTGTGAGTAGATTTGCCTTTTACTAACTCTATTGTACTACTAACTTACATGTATTTGCTAAAACTTTGTACAGAACAGGTGTATTAAGATAAAGTGACAATCAAACGCCTGAAGTAATGTGACCAAAGCTTGATCAGCTTAAAACTGGAATTCTTTGTTTCTTAGAAAAAATTATCTGCTCCCTCAAAAACCACAATTGAAGAAAAAATTAGTTTCAAAAAAATCTAAATTTTGTATTATTTCACAATTTTTTAGCATGTCTGGTTACCTTAAATCATTCACCCCTGAAGACACATTTGAACTCTTCCAAATCAATGGTTGGAATAGTTCATTATGAAGTTTCAGGGGTGAATGAGTTAATACCAGGCATATCATTTCGAGAGTACGTACATGTATTATTTTAAAAAGCAATTAATTTGTAATGAATTATGCCATCAATGTATCTGTATAGATTATTTTGATCTTATAATCAGTCTGAGGCAGATGAAACAACTGTAAGTTGGTGATTTGCACTATGCTTGAATATATCTTTTTATAGATACAAATGTGTTATATACTGTGAACACAGTTTATCATGAATTCATATATCTGGCCTATATTTGTTTAGAAACGATTTATTTGTAGAATTTAGTTGTTGGTATCCTTTCTGGGATATCAATACAATGAATGAGTCCTTTGAAGCAAAAAATAAGTATTCACAGAATTTTAGTGTTTTACAGTAAAAGATCTTGGCAGAGCCTCGGGTTAGACAACCAAAAAACATCACCCCTCTGGTTAGAGATTTCTCTGTCACACCCTCAGGGCAGGGAAAGATTCTATTAATCATTATCACATTGCCAACATTATATCATATAACCTACATTTTTGTGTCGCCTGCGAAAAGCTGGTGACACATAGGTATTGCTATGTCGGTGGTGGCGTCTGCACAGAGGTTTTCGTGCGATAACTTGAGTTTCCTTGGGCCGATCAAACTCAAACTTCATGCAGTGCTTCCTTACCAAAAGTGCTTGCTTGGGAATGCTTTTCAGGTCCGAAGGTCAAAGGTCAATGTCACTGTTACTATAAATAGAAAATCTGTTTTCGTGCGATAATTTGAGTTTCCGTGGGCCGATCAAACTCAAACTTCATGCAGTGCTTCCTTACCAAAAGTGCTTGCTTGGGATTGCTTTTCAGGTCCGAAGGTCAAAGGTCAAGGTCACTGTTACTATAAATAGATAGCAAGTTCCTTAAAACTCAAGAGTATTCTTCCCAGAATAACAGATTATATAACAAAATGATGCCATCCAAAAACATAATCTATGATTATTTCTTACTTTTAACATTATTTCTTGAAATGAAAAGTGTATCTATTTCTTCGTAATATCCCAGCTTCCTTCGCAGGCGACACATCCACTTCCGTGGAATTCTTGTATTTGGGTAAAGTTGGTTTATATATACACAGCTTTCAAACATTTTCCATAAGTTACAGGATATATAACTTGTATGAAGCAGTATAGGAACAAATGGGAGCTTGCATAGAATAGCTACTAATAAACCAATCATACAATTCTAATATTCCCCTTGCCTTCAATCACATTAAAGCATTGAAATGTGTCCTTTTCTAACAACATTTCTGCTTCTGCAAAAGATTGATCCCAAAAAAATCATTGAAATACCTGCTTATTAATAATAATGATTATTTATCCGGGTCAAAGTGCTTGATTCCATGCATGCTGAATAATTGCTCCTAAGTAATTATTCTGGTACAATCAATTCCGATGAAATCCACTTCGGATATATTTTCTATAAAGAGTGCACTCCAGTAGCACATAAACATGGTCCAAAGGGGCATGTACAACTTACATTTAATATTTTGTTTATGATAAATTTATTTATTATGTTGACATAGTTTCGGCTCAGCGTTGTGATGTCATCGATACATTTGTAAACAACAAAAATGATGACATAATCTGGTTTTAAATATATCCTATGATATTTCTTGTGTTTTCATGAAAAGAGTCAAATAGTATGGAAAAATTAAGCAATAACTTAAGAAATTCAGGTTACTATTTCATTTAAAATCTCAAAATTCTTTTTGGGCTATCTGCAACTGAATCTGTTAAAATTTGAGATTTAAAACACTGTTACAACACTTTACATAAAATTCATAAATTATATTTGTATAAATTATTTTTATGAAAAAGGCATTGCATCTTGTCGTAGATATTCATATACATGTATGTGTATTTCAGATATCTGTACTAAAATGAACTAACTCTACTCTTCGAAGTTTCAAACTTTGTTCTCTCTTTTAAGTGTAATGTCTTTCCCGATATTCTATATTTTGGTTGGTGAGTTGTGAATTTTTGGTTTTGTAGATGTCGAGCTCCGGACGGAATGGTATCAATATTAATACACGGGATGCGTCAGGTTACACACCCTTGCTTCGCGCTGTTTTGTGCGGGAACCTAGAGTTTGTCCAGCTGTTCTTGCAGAGGGGTGCCAATGTTAATTGTCAGACGATAAAACACATCACTCCTCTCCACCTGGCCTGCTTCCTTGGGGAAAATAAGGTGAGTGTTGCCCAAAGGTTAAGTAAGTCATGCAAACTTGCCAACTCTCCCTATTTAGGAGGGTGATTCTCGATTTTGGACCCTTAAATTTAGTATTTTCAACCGGTAAATTTGCTAAATTATTACTATATTCTAAGATCTAATGATTTCACATGAAAGAACAGCTCAAAAGATGTCATTTTAAAGGGATGTGTTTTCTCTTCTCTAGGGGGTGTATAAACACATTTAATATATGTTTTAATTTTGAATATGCAGGATCTCCTCCATTAAAATTTCAAAAAGTTCAGAAGTTTGAGTAAGTCATCAATTCAGAATTTCTTAGTACAGACAGAAAAAAAACTTTCTTCCTCTTAGTGCAGCACCTTGTTTTCCATGCAGTGCAGACAGTACTTTTCCTTCCCCTCAGTGCAGACAGAGTGCCCTCCCTTTCTTTCAGTGCAGACAGAGTGCCCTCCCTTTTTTCAGTGCAGACAGAGTGCCGCCCTTTCTGTCAGTGCAGACAAAGTGCCCTCCCTTTCTTTCAATGCAGACAGAGTGCCCTCCCTTTCTTTCAGTTCAGACAGAGTGCCCTCCCTTTTGTTCAGTGCAGGCAGACTGCCGTCCCTTTCTTTCAGTGCAGACAGAGTGCCCTCCCTTTCTTTCAGTGCAGACAGAGTACCCTCCCTTTTGTTCAGTGAGGCAGAGTGCCCTCCCTTTCTTTCAGTGCAGACAGAGTGCCCTCCCTTTCTTTCAGTGCAGACAGAGTGCCCTCCCTTTCTTTCAGTGCAGACAGAGTGCCCTCCCTTTCTTTCAGTGCAGACAGAGTGCCCTCCCTTTCTTTCAGTGCAGACAGAGTGCCCTCCCTTTCTTTCAGTGCAGACAGAGTGCCCTCCCTTCCTTTCAGTGCAGACAGAGTGGCCTCCCTTTCTTTCAGTGCAGACAGAGTGGCCTCCCTTTCTTTCAGTGCAGACAGAGTGCCTTCCCTTTCTTTCAAAGCAGACAGAGTGCCCTCCCTTTCTTTTAGTGCAGACAGAGTGCCCTCCCCTTCTTTGAGTGCAGACAGAGTGCCCTCCCTTTCTTTCAGTACGGATAGAGTGCCCCCCCAATCCTTTTAGTACGGACAGAGTGTCCCCCCTCCCTTCCTTTTAGTACCAACAGAGAACTGATTGGTCATCTTTGATTGATGTCTGCTAATTAATTTCTCTATTACTTTATCATAGATTGCCAAGATTCTGGTCAAGAATGGCGCTCAGACAGATGTCCGGGACCAAGCAGGAGACACACCAGTCCATATATGCTGTGGTAAAGGCAACATTGCACTCCTGGACCTTCTGGTAGAGGTGAGTGTCTAAAAATATCTATTACTTGTAACTGAGCAAGATCGGGTTATCTAATATAAGTCGAGGGCTATAAGATTCTGTTACATAATCCCAACAGAGGCGAAAGCATCATAGAGTTCGAAAAACTCAATTTTGCTATAGGCAACAAGTTTCCTAAGCTTTCATTTTGACAGCTTGTAGGTAGAAGAATGCAGTTGGCAATGAACATATTGTGTGGAGCCTGTTATAGAATATTTTTGAAGTTCAGTTACTAACTTCATCAATATTCTTGAATGTGTAGCTGATGACCATATACTTACACCTTTTTTTGAAGGATCCTGGTACTTATGTCAAAAATTGTTTCATAGTATTGGAAACAGATTGTTATACTTAATCGTTCCAACCCACTTGGCTACTTGGTCAACAGGAGTGTTCTGGCACATCTGTGCTACAGTGTTATCCAAAACAAAATTAAGGGGAGCTAACGTTACAGGACCCAAATCAGAGCCCTTCTTAGCGAAATATTGATGTATTTCATACCATAGTACAGATCCCAATAATTTTTCACTTTTCCTAAATAAATATCAATATCTTTTTATTTTGATAATAAGCTGAGATTTCTGGTGCGTGGTTCTATAAATAGAACTGGAAATATAGTCATGGTTACGTTATCGTGAAACAGTTGTTATAAGTCTACACATTTCCTTTATTATCCCCCGCTTTCACCGAAATGGGTGATATTAATTTGGGTTTGTCTGTCTTTCTGTCTGTCAGTCTGTCTGTCTGTCTTTCACGCTCGTTTCCGTGCAATAACTGCAACAAATGATAACCGATTTTCTTCAAACTTAGTAACAGGATTAAATGCCTGAAGGGCTCGGCCAAATTTGATGACCACTTTCAGCAGACCATATTTGCCAGAGTTATGGCCCCTTGAATAACCAAAACCGTCAGTATCTGCCGTTTCTGTTCATTAACTCTCGCAAACATTATCCAATTGTCTTCAAACTTAGTAACAGGGTTCCTGGCATTAAGGGCTCGGCCAAGTTTGACAACCACTTTAATTGGACTCCATTAAGCGGAGTAATGGCCCATTGATTAACGAAAAACATCATTATCTACAGTTTCCGCTTAATAACTCTAGTAAATATTAGCCAAATTCCCTCAAAGTTGATAACAATGTTTGTGTTCCTCTGTCTTTCCACCCATCTCGGGCACTCTTTGTTTTTTGTGTTAATTGCAGTAGATATTGTGCAGATATTTCGACCAAATTCCGTATGCAGATCCAACTCATGCTAAGTTTGCCAACCGATGTGATTTGTGCATATTTACAGATAATAAATGAGGTTAGTAGATTCTGATGGATTAAACGATTTTCTTCAATCAGTTTAATTTACTACGTAATACCTACATATTCAATAAGAAGAGTAACTTCTGTATAAGGCTTTTTTAAGCCGCTCTTGGCAAGAGCCGAGCAGCTTATTAATTCTGTCCAGAGAACGAAATGACGGACCCACTTCCGTTCGGGGTGCGTGCGCGCGTATAATTCAGTCTTGCATGCTTCCGCTATATAGTTTCGTTATCGTAAATAGAAAGTAGAATTTCTGACACTCACCTGTGGGTTACATAAAGTCTTCTGATACTCTTCTCCAAATAATTATCCATTCTTTAAATAATTGCTGAAAACAAAATGTTCATCTCCGGTGCATTCTACGAGTGTTGTGGTGGTGAAATTCGTGCACTGGGTTTGAGCGTTTTAGCAACTCGGATTAAGGTCTGAGGAGTGTTACGTGTGTGAAACACATATGATTCGGGAAAGCACATGTGAAGACTGTCAAGCATTGACGCTGTCTGTAGAAGGAAGAAGTAAATATATATATACTTATAAACCGTATTAGTGATGAAGTATAACCTCTATTTTGATGTTCATATTTCATGACATATCGTGCTTAGGTTGATATCGGTAATGGCTCTGAGACGAGACGATATGTGAACTGTGTATGCTTATCAAACATTTCTGTAACACAGCATGCTATTTCTGGTGTATTTATTTATGAAAGTGTAACAATTTAAGAACATGATGCAACTGCCGCTGCTGTCTGACAAGAATTCGTGCCGTGTCAAAATATTATCCAATCCGGTGTTACGGAAATAACTCTTACGTTGGTCAAGTCGCATTGAGAAATATAATTCAAATATATTCCAAGAACATTTGTGAGATTTTGTGAGATTTTGTATAACAATGACAGTAAATAAAGTCGCTACATATATTACTAATTATTATTAATATGAATAAATAATAAATAAAAATAAAAGGAGTACAATGTCTCTTTTCTCCATGCATTCTTTTCCCCATACTGTTAATTCTTCATTTAACAAGCACAAAATGCACCTATTCTTTATTATCTATTCACTGATTGCCATTCTGCACATAAATGCTCATGTCACATCATCGGAGGATGCTAATTAATGAAAATTACAACAATGCGTCACACTTAAAGAGGGTGAAAAAAGAGGAGAGGGAGAAATGTTTTTAAGGCATCATTTAAGAGGTGATTGATTTTGGAAATCCCAAAGGCAACATCATCACATGACTTGATTTTCAATTAGCAGAATACAAAACACATATCTGAGGTATCATAGAAGATATTGATGCTCAACGTGTTACTTAAGCAATTAAATTTAAAGTGGTGAGCGGCTTTAATGTCACACTGACATAATTCTGTTTTTAGCTAAGGCGTTAGCCGCCAGCTATTGGTATTACTTTAGTTAATGAGCTCAGATATTCATAAATGTCCATTTCACACAGACGGCCTCTAGCGGTAGTCACTGGTACTAAATTGAATCATATACCGGACCTGCTGTCTTTATTATGCGTAACTTTGGACTCAAATGCACTTGAATGGCTTGTAAATATCATTACTTTTCTTTATAGAACATATGATCTTATCACAACGTCGTATTCTTATTGAAAATGCACCCTGTTTATCTCAATCGGGAACTGCTACTTGAATGTAGGTCATGCATGCTACACGCAACTTCCGGTAAAAATACTTCAGTTAATGAGCTCAGATATTCATAAACGAGACATAACGTCACCTTCTAGTAATACTAAACAAACTGCAAATAAAATCCATTACCACGGACTCAAGTTCACTCAAACGTCATTGGATATAATCTTATTCTTAGTTAGAACTAAGTATCCTTCTAAAACTTCGTATTTACTCTTGGAACTGTCGCTGGATTAACCCTTTACACGGAAATATTGTCCTGTGATTGGCTAAAATTGGTGACATTTACGTCCCTGTTTACAATTATATATTGCGTGGTCAGAGCTATGAAGCGGTCCTGTTCCAACTAACTGAGGATAATCAAAAGTGCTAATCAGTAATAATATATCTGATTCACGCTTCATATGATTATAATGTTATCAAAATATTGCATATTCGTTCATCGTTAAAATAACAAATCCTTACTAAAAACTCTAAAAAAAGAAACGACGGCCATGTTAGATCACGCGTGATGTTATCCGTTTCCTTATATGGCCTTCACGGCCAAATATAGTATTACTACTGATGCGGTCATGTTTACTACAATTTCCATATTTGGTCATGACACCCATATTTAGACGTCTGACCTATATCGGAAAGATTGAGGAAGTTTCCAACATGGCAGTCAATTAGGATTTCGCTTGCACTTGTTACGTAAACTTGATAATTTAACGAAATATAAGGCGGAGTATAACTTACAATTATGTAGGAGATCAACATAAAAAGTTCATATTACAAACCTATTAATGGATACGGATCCTGTCAATTAATTCTAAAATCGCCTCCGTGTGATTCACACCAGGCTTGCCTAACTAAAATGGGATCAACCGGCCGGGGCAGATGAGACCGGGAATCATGTTAGAACTAGCCACTGTCCTTCTCTAGTTCCATATTGGTATTCTAACCTGAAGGCTTTTTTTACCTTCGCAGTATTATCATTTTGTTCTATTTTCATCATAAGATATGCTATTGCATTTTTATATCGCCTTCTCGCTAATTACAGCTCAGCCAGAAACGAAAATATGCTCCGATAGGCCTACATTTTATATGTCTGTTGGTGTGATTTGTGTTTTTCGTTTATTGAAGTATTACCATATAACAGGACTCTTTTATTTCAATATACACAAAAACAACAACACCTTCGGAATGATTTCAGACATATACTGCGGGAAAACACGAGTGATCTCCCTTACATTTAGACATGCGCACATTTTACTTTCGTTTTGTGTAGGCCTAGACATCATTCGCAACGCGAAGCGGAAAAGACGAAAATGCAGGCGAGTGTTGACTTAATGTTAGGCATGTTGTTTAAGCAGCATTGACAATGAACAATATACATACACTTCTGCAACGTTTACCTACTACTGATTCATAAATAAGGCTATGTATCCCGATTTCGGTGACTTGTGGCCAAGCATGCGGCCGAAGCCGCAGAGAATGGCGCATGTTGTCAGCGGCGATGACAAAAAGGAAGGTGCTTCTACGGTATGTATAGCAGTTATTATGCAAAAACAAACATAATAAACGGACGTTTTACTCTAGTGAATTACAGCGTCACGAGGAACGTCTTTCTCCAGACGTGTTGCAAAATTTTCGAACTGCTTAGTTGCAAACTGATTTCACTTAAGCGTTGTTTGTGAGGATATTTGGCCTTACATTTCTTCTCATTCAGTTAAAAAAAA